TATTTGGTCGGTCTCTATTTGGCTAACGTTTCTGGGTGGTCAGTGAATATTTTATGATATATGAAGCCTACGCAGCACCACAATCAAGACAAAACAATAAGGTTATGCCCACAGGTCAACATAAACACAACAACTCATGCAGCATTTCACTATAAAGCTACCCTACAATGTTCACCTAAAAGAAGACAACATCAATTTAAACTGCACAGCTGCAATGTACATAAAAAATACACATAATATACATAAAGATGTACAGTATAAACCCAAACCGTAAAGCACACAGCCACAGCGGGCGTGAAAAATGTCTTTTTTCATTTATATCTTACCTCTGGTGACAGTTCGCTGATCACTGCCGACAAAAACGATGCAACTTTTTTCTTAACTTGGGTACATTTTATATTTGGCTTGGTGGGCGTCCTCTGCTCTGTAGAGGTATCAGCTCTCTCTTCTACAGATCCACCAGACATATTTTGAATATTTGGAGCTGCAAGTTCAAAGAAACGCTAGCTCAGTGCTAAAAAGCTTGAAATGGTTGCTAAGCAGTGTCTGTGTTTACATGCAAGATTTCTGCCATATAGATTAAGACTGAGGTGTTATTCTCACTCTACTCAACAATCTGATGGAAAATCTCCATTTACACGCTCACTACAAGTAATCAGATCCAAAACGATACGCATGCGTAGAGCACCGCTTAGTGTAGACGTTACCATGACAACCAGCATCACGTGAGTCCAGTCAGAGTGAGATGAGCAGCAGTGAGCAGTGCTTGTGTTTTTAATTACTTTAAAATGATGTCAGACTCAGGAAAACGTCCTTCACACGTCCTTATTAAAGAAGGCCGAGAGGAAGACGTCGTGTTCTGAGACACATAAGCTGGACGTCCTGCAGACCAGTTTCTGCTCCGCCATGTTGAACGGTATAAACTCTCACTATGACGTGACGAACATGATCAGAACGGACTTAAACTTTCCGATAGGGAACGTAATCAGATACAGGCGTTTACACGGATATTATTCTTCTATTTAACGGATTATTTACAGGATTAAACACCTCAGACTATTCCGATCGAGGTGTTTACATGGACGCATTCTATTCTAAATGAGCTATTAGTCTGATTATTAATGGATTATTAGGCTGAATGTAAACGTGGAAACGAAGTAAACATTTACGAAAGACATGTAGAGCATTGGGATTAAGATCAGCCATAACCCAAAGGACAAAGCTAATTTTTGTCCTCTGTTCTGTTAGTAAAGTTCTCACTGTGAGTCAAAATGGCTGCTTAAATTTTCTCATAATTGCTCGTCGTGGCTCTGACCACTGCAAACGCCTATAAAACCCACTGGATGATCTCGGCCTGGATTTAAGGCCTTACTCTCGTTACACCACCCAACTCTAATTAGCAACTTCCTAATTATATGCTGGCTGAATCATTAAACCCATCAAAATAGAAAAAATCAAAGCAGAGCTTCTGAAGAAACTTGGGGGCCGTTTGTCGAACATCTAAATTTGCTCAAAACTAAAGGTGTTTCTGATCAGCTAAAACACACATACCAATCAGATTCTATAATTTACTGACCTACGGCCCCCCCAGCCAAACATTCACCCACCACTGCCTCGTCTTTAAAGGGTAATTCCACTGATTTTTCAAATATTCTCCATAATTAAGTGGTTAAGATGTAAACAGAGCTGTTCAGAGTGGTTTGGTGTGAAACGCTCCGTTCTAGATAAACTTACCGAGTCAGAACTGTTCACAGTGGTGGTGATAGGAACCAGACGTCCACCTCTAAAAGCTCCCTCACAGAAAGTTACTACATGAAATGGTTATGAATTCACTGCCTGATGACTGAGACACTGTTTTATGATAGTTTAGAGAACTTAAACTCCATTCATGGTGGAGGGATACATGCAGGGCGCTGTGAGGCAAAATAGTCCCCAAAGAAAACGTATTATTTCAGATTTTCCACTATTTTCCATCATCAACATTCCATATAAACTCAGAAGACTCGTGTAGGTTCACTGGTGGTTCTGGATAGTAAATCAAATGTCTATATCTGTGTTGTAGTCATGGCGACCCCCGGTTCCTATCACCACCACTGTAAATCTGGTAAATTCCACTTTAAGATTATGAACAGCATCAGTCAGGTGGTCTAAATGTTCAGCTGAGTGGATGTTTATTTATTTATCTACATACCAGGCAGGTTTTGCTCCTTTGTGCAAAGAGATGAACGAACAGCATCTCTGCTTAATCAACTCCGTGCAGAGACAGTCCATCCAAATCACATCCCAGAGATACGTTGCCATGGTTTCTGTCATGACCCCAACCTAGCTGCCTATAGTTTGGCTTGTTTATTTCTCTGAAAAATCAAGCTTTTAAACTCCCCCCAAAGGGGAATTTCAGCAATTCGGTTCAACTGCAGCAATAAAACAGATGTTCAAAGATCCTCCACATAATATGAAGCTTCTGTACTGAATATCGTCTCCTAGAAAGAGCGAATAATCCACAGCGTTAGAAGAAAAACTCGCAGCAGGACAGAATGGAAAACTCCCACCAAAAGTTTCACATCTTTATGTTTTATTTGTTAGTTTGCAGCAATTTACTACTTTAAACCCTAAACAGCTTCATTTAGAGCAGAGGTCACAACCCAAACATTAAGAAGAGCCATTTTGTCCTTTCAACAAAAATCAAACCATCTTGGGAGCAGCAAAATTTTATGTCTATTTTACCACCAGCTGTAAATATGTCTCAGTAGGTACTAATCTAGTAGTATAGGTTAAAAAATATGACATAAACGAAAACAAAGACTTACTTTGCTCTGCTTTAAGCTTTAGCTCAGCCGCTTTTCTCGCATCTCTGGCAGGAAACATTTCCACAAAAGTAGAACAGTTTTTTGTAAAACGTCTCTCAACATTCGACTGTTTTACGAGGCTGAAGTCGCTTCTCATTCTCCAGCTTCTTGTTTGAATTTTTCTGTTCCACCTTAAATGGTACCTGAAGCGCCAGAATGTAACTGCCGCACCATTTAAGGTGGAACGGGAAAATTCGAACAAGAATTTGGCGAATGAGAAGCAACTTTAGCCTTGCGGTTTCTCGTTTCAGATTAAACGTATGAGGAAACCAGCTGGAGTGATTATAAATATAAACAAGTTTGTCAATTTATCTCTAAGTTGTCGATGTTCGTAATTATCTTGCATTCCTTTGCCCTTTCATTAGCTACTATCTAGGCAAGATTGTCTGCATTGTTAGGGTGACCAGTAGTCTGCGCACCTCATCTTCAGGGTTGAAGGTCGGTGAATTAGCAGTTGTACATTAATTCCATTAATGCAGAGCTTTATTTTACTGATTATTTTATTATTGCCTAAAAATCGAATTCTGCCGTGGAGCCACAACAGCTGCAGTAAAAGAGACACATGTTGCTGATTTAAAGAGAAATAATATCACACATGTAAATATCCCTCTATTGCATGGTGTTACGTGGTGTTGCCACATGGCAACAATTACTTTATCTCTGTTTCACTAAAAGGCAGCAGTATAACAGCCATGTGTTACTGTTTAATTGTGAAAAAAGGGGCTTTTACTCTGAAAAAAGGGTCTTTTACTCTGAAAGGGCAAATGCTTGATGACATCACATGACCAAGAAGTCTTGTTTGCATTCCCTATTTCCATAGACACTTGACACTGAGAAGGTCATGACCCAAGGGCTCACAGAGTTGACCTGTTCAATATTTAGGCAAAATTCCTTCAAGAAAAACTGAAATACTATCTGGGGTAAGTTACCTTTTGATTTTCATCATTACAACCAGTTTAGATGTGATACAGTTTTTGTAAAATGGTCAAATCAATTTGTTGCCATATGGCAACAATATGCGAATATGGAAGCATGTGTGCATTCAGCCTGTTGGACTGTAATGGAAACAGCACTGAGCTCCTCTGAAACCATGTTTACTTTTGATTACATTTAAAAGTGAAAAAAAAAAACATTATTTTTATATACATTTTGTAATTTCAGACGTTTTGTAACTGTAACATATTATCTGGATTTTAAATGACACCACTGGAAATTACAGTTTTAACAGAAGGAATTGAAATATTCTCACCCAGATTATATGTTGGGCTGCTTCTGTGTGCATTTCTAGTCAATAAAAACATGTTGATGATGAATAAATGAAATGAATCATATTGAATAAGAATAATTAAATGAAATCAAATAGGAAAGAAATTTGTTTTTGATCAGGAAAATTATGTTCCTGTGTTTTATTACAGGTATGTATAACTTCTGTATCTTATTAAAATATTATTTTCATACATATCAAATAACTATTGACATTATAGTAATTTATCTGAATATTGGGTTATACATTTTACTAAGTATAGGTTCTATATGTTTAGTCTTGTTTTCAATAAAAAGAAGTTTTTAGAGAAAATTTTGATTTTATGATGCTGTCCATGATTGCTCATTGTTGCCACATGGCAACAATTTACTAACTACCTCACTTCATTAAAAAAAATCAAATATTACCAATATTTAAGACAAAAAAACACACTGCATTAAAAGCTTTTTAGATTTTGCTGGTTTTTTTGCAAAAAAAGTCAGAAAGCTGAAGGAACAGATGCTGAAAGCTCTAGCCTGAGAATAAAGCTGAAGGCCACGCCCACTTTCTGCCCTTGTTGTGATGTCAGCACTCAAACGTTTCAGGTGTTCAAACCACCTTTGGACCAAAAGAGGTTCAACACGAACCTGCTCTTCGTACCGAGGACGGGGCTGTGATGATCGTGATCATGTGATGATCGTGATGATAAACGTACAGAGATCATCAGCACAGAGCTGCTCTGAGATCAACTAAACCTTTAATACTGTGTTTATTACTGAGCTGAAGAGCAACAGTGAGAAACTCCACACTGTAAAGAAGTCAACGTGACCCCAACCGTTCGGCCGGTGGTGCAGACGGACGGACGGACGGACATCAGCAGCAGGACAGTGAATAAGATCAGCTCTGCTCACCTGAACACTTTCATCAACATCCACAACTCCTCCTGCAGTCAGTCTGACCTCAGACACCCCAACTGAGACAACACACATAGATACGTCCTCACCTGAGAGACAGAGAGAGAGAGAGAGAGAGAGAGAGAGAGAGAGAGAGAGAGAGGGAGAGAGAGAACAGAGAGAGAGAGAGGGAAAGAACAGAGAGAGAAAGAGAGAGAGAGAGAGAACAGAGAACACAGAGAGAGACAGAGAGAACAGAGAGAGAGAGAACAGAGAGAACAGAGAGAGAGAGAACAGAGAGAGAGAGAACAGAGAGCATAAGAGAGAGAGAGAGAACAGAGAGAGGGAGACAGAGAGAGAGAGAACAGAGAGCAAGAGAGAGAGAGAGAAATAGAGAGAGAACAGAGAGAGAGCAGAGAGCAAGAGAGAGAGAGAGAGACAGAGAGAGAGAGAACAGAGTGAGAGAGAGACAGAGAGAGAGAGAGAGAACAGAGTGAGCAGCACTTTTGCAGCACAATATATAACTGCCTGCCACAATATGAACAGTGAGTGACCCACCCAAACACAACACACACACACACACACACACACACACACACACAGAAACACTACACACAGATACTGAAGACAACTGATAGCCCTGTTTGTAAACAACTTTATGAACTTATGTAACCTCAAACTACCGTGTTTATCTGTTCTTTAGTACTACTTGATCTACTATTATTATCATTAATTATTGATTTTTGTGAATTCTACAGTTATTATTTTCTCTTCATACAAACTGGGACTTCTTAAATCGTTATATGTTTCGAATTATTAATCCTGCCTTTTGATGATGCTCTGGCAATACTGTATCTAAATATGGTCACCACAATAGAGCTTACTGAACTGAAACTGAGAGAGAGAGAGAGAGAGAGAGAGAGAGAGAGAGAGACAGAGAGAGAGAGACAGAGGGAGAGAGAGAGAGAGAGAGAGAGAGAGAGAGAGAGAGAGAGAGAGAGAGAGAGAAAGAGAGCACGAGAGAGAGAGAGCGCGAGAGAGAGAGAGAGAGAGAGAGAGAACAGAAAGAGAGAGAGAGTTAGGGAACAAGCGAGAGCCCGAATTCACCTCACTTTCTCTCCGTCAGTTCAGTTTTAGATTGACCGACAGGTGAGAGTGGACAGGTGAGAGTGGACAGGTGAGAGTGGAGAAGTGAGAGTGGACAGTTGAGATTGAGTGAGGAGATAGACAGGTGGGTGTGCACAGGTGGGCATGCATGAGGAGATGGACAGGTGAGAGTGGACATGTGGGAGTGGACAGATGGGTGTGGGCATAAGGAGACGGACAGATGAGAGTGGAGAGGTGAGAGTGGACAGTTGAGACTGCATGAGGAAATAGACAGGTGGGCTGGCATTAGGAGATCGACAGGTAAGAGTGGACAGGTGGGAGTGGACAGGTCAGAGTGGACTTGTAGGCCTGCATAAGGAGATACACAGGTGAGAGTGGACAGGTGAGAACAGAAAGGTGAGACTGCATGAGGAGATAGACAGGTGGGTGTGCACAGGTGGGCATGCATGAGGAGATGGACAGGTGAGAGTGGACATGTGGGTGTGGACAGGTTGGTGTGTATGAGGAAACACACAGGTGAGAGTGTATGAGGAAATGGACAGGTGGCAGTGGATAGGTGGGCATACATGAGGAGATACAGTGGTGAGAACAGACAAGTAGGAGTGGACAGGTGGGCATGCATAAGGAGAGGGACAGGTGAGAGTGGACAGGTGGGCATGCATGATGAGATGGAGATGGACAGATTAGAGTAGACAGGTGTAAGTGGACAGGTGAGATGGAATAGGTAAGAGTGGACAGGTGAGGAAGGACAGATGAGATAAGGCAGGTGAGAGTGGACAGGTGAGGAAAGACAGATGAGATAAGACAGGTAAGAATGGGCAGGTGAGGAAGGACAGATGGATAAGGCAGATGGGAATGGGCAGGTGAGGAAAGGACAGGAAAGGATCGACAGATGAGAGCAGAAAGGTGTAAGTGGACAGGTGAGGATAAACAAACACATGCTACACTCTTAAAAATATGCTTCTTCAGTGGTTCTTTAGCAAAAGGAATGGTTCTATTTAGAGTTCTACATAGAACTTTTTGAAAATGGTTCTACACAGTACAAAAACGGTTCTGCTATTGTTACTAGCTTAACATCGTAACAATAGCCGAACCCTGTTTGGTGCTATATAGAACCATATACAACACATTCTCTATCAATCTGCAAAGAACCGTTTAAGCATGAAATGGTTCTATATAGAACTCATGGTTCCCTTTACCAAAGAACCCCTGAAGAATCGTCCTGTGTCCAAAAATGCACCCCTTTTCAAACATCTAATGAAATGCAACCTATTTTTTGGAATATATCGATATATTTGTCTGTTAATCAATACAAAGTTATATGAAATATGGTGTGTAAATCTCATGCACGACGCTAGAAAAGACTGGACTGCAGTTAAACCTGTTGGCCTCACAGTTCAGCAGTCAGACTCTGAACTTTATGATGAACCATTTAAAGAACCATCAAGAACGAAGAACGTCAATAAACGTCGTGTGAGCTGAAACAAGGCTGCGAGCTTCAGACCAGACAACATCACAGGAATATAAACAACAGAACCCTAACACGCTCTCTGCCTCGCGCTCGTGCACCCATTTAGATGACGCCCAACCCGAATGCACGTGCACTTGCCCACTTACCCCTCTGCGCGTATGAAGATGCCCTGGTGCCACCGATTGGACCTCGCGCTGCCCACTGTCACTCCATGCCATCCTCCGCCTCACTCACTCACTGCAGCACGAGCCTCCAACACGAGCAGCAACCATACATCTCTCTCTCTCTCTCTCTCTCTCAGCGTTTCATGGCCAGGCCGCGTGCATTGCGCGCGAGGACAAGAAAGCTCCACGAGACTCTCAGCTCTGCATCGCGCTTCGATCGCTTTAAGCGCCTAAAATATCCCCAACGCGCGCGCTTAACCTACATTTCAGTCAGATTCCCTGCAGACAGAACGATGGAGAGCGGCGCGTGGAAGACCCTGCCTGTCTTTTCCACACCCATGTTTCACCAAGCCACGCCCACACTCGTGCTGCGATTGGCTAGTAAAGCCCCGCCTCCTGCGCGGGGATTGGCTAGTTGGTTCAAACTTGCAAGCAACAGATGTAGAAACGAATAGCACAGAATAAAAAACGCGTTAAAAGACAGAAAAATAATAAAATATCAGAAAAAAGGGTTTTAGTACCGAGGTTAACAGTTAAACTGCTGTATGCACAAAAAAGGTCTTTATACTCACTGGCCACTTTATTGGAAACACCTACCTTGTGCTTCCACTCACTGGCCACTTTATTGGAAACGCTCACCTTGTGCGTCCACTCACTGGCCACTTCATCGGAAACGCCCACCTTGTGCGTCCACTCACTGGCCACTACATCGGAAACGCCCACCTTGTGCGTCCACTCACTGGCCACTTTTTTGGAAACGCCCACCTTGTGCGTCCGCTTACTGGTCACTTTATTGGAAACGCCAACCTTGTATGTCCACTTACTGGCCACTTTATTAGAAACACCAGACTTGTGTTCCCCTCAAGGGCCACTTTATCAGAAACGCTTACCTTGTCCTTCCATTAACTGGACACTATACTGGAAACACCAGCCTTGTGCTTTACTCACTGGCCACTTTATTAGAAACACCTACCTTGTGCTTCCACTAACTGGCCACTTTATTAGAAACACCCACCGTGTGCTTCCACTTACTGGCCACTTTATTAGAAACACCTACCTTGTGCTTCCCCTCAATGGCCACTTTATCAGAAACGCCTTCCTTGTCCATCCACTAACTGGACACTATAGTGGAAACACCTACCTTGTGCTTCCACTCACTGACTCCTTCATCATATTCACTTTTCTTCCATTTCTCATTTAAAACTATTACCTACATTGTGTGTCCACTCACTGGTCACTTTATTAGAAATACCTACATTGGCCTTCCACTAACTGGCCACTTTATTAGAAACACCTACCTTGTACTTCCAGTCACTGGCCACTTTATTGGAAACACCTAACTTGTGCTTCCACTCACTGGCCACTTTATTAGAAACACCTAAAAACATACCCGTCTGCCTGTTGCTGTACCGTTCATCAGCCCGCTCTACCTCATTCATCACTGGTCAGTTTTTGACCACAGGACCAAAGCTGAACCGACATTTTTTGTGTGGTGGTACACCAGCAAGGTGGAGCTATAAGGGAGGAGTTTCTGATAAAGTGGCCGGGTGGTGTATGGTGTCCTGTATTGCTAATTAGGGATGGATGAGAGGGTACAGTAATAATGACTGTTTGCTCTGTGCAGTGTGTGTCACCTCCACCACTACTGAAGTTATCCGAATGGTCGCTGCTCACTCTGTACGGGAGGCCTGCGGCTTTCAGTGCCAAATCATTCAGCCCATCCATCAGAATGAACTGCAGAGCCAGCAGAACTTTATAAATATTTCAGGCGGTGAAACTGATGGCTTCTGCAGAAAGCCTCCTGGTATGTGTGAGGATTCCTGCCAATCATCAGGCTGTGCTTCCCAACCTGAAATCAGTCCTGACCTTATTTAGCTTGTTAGTTTATGTCTCTTATATCACAGAAAAATAAACTTTCCTCACTGTTTTGACATAAAAGAGTTTGTGAACACTTCTCAAAATGTCAGCAACGAAACATTAGAGCTCGTAAACTCATAGTGCCGAAGTGTGTTGCACACAAAGATCATCTATCCTCTGTTGCATCACTTACTACAGTTCCAAGCTGCCTCTGGAAGCAACATCAGCACAAGAACTGTGCAGAGGGAGCTTCATGGATTGGGTTCCCATGGCTGAGCAGCTGCACACAAGCCTAAGATCACTATGCGCAATGCCAAGTGTCGGCTGGAGGGGTGTAAAGCGCCTCCACTGGACTCTGGAGCAGTGAAAACGTGTTCTGTGGAGTGATGAATCAGCTTCTCTATCTGTCAGTCTGATGGATGAATCTGGGTTTGGTGGATGCCAGGAGAACGTTACCTACTGGAATACACAGTGCCAACAGTAAAGTTTGGTGGAGGAGGGATGATGAGCTGGGGCTGTTTTTCAGGGTTTGGGCTCTCAGTTCCAGTGAAGGGTGATGTTGGCTGCAGTACACAAAGATATTTTACAGACATCATATCCTTCCAGCTTTGTGTCAGCAGTTTGGGGAAGAGCCTTTCCTGTTCCAGCATGATTGAGCCCCTGTGCACAAAGCAGCTCCATAAAGACATGGTGTGACCAGTTTGGTGTGGAGGAATTCCAGTGGTCCTCACAGAGCCCTGACCCTCAACCCCACTGAACACCTTTGGGATGAACTAGAACGGAGATTGTGAGTCAGACCCTCTCGTCCAACATCAGTGCCTGACCTCACTGAATGACTGACTGAATGAACACAGACACTCTCCAAAATCTTGTAGAACGCTTCCCAGAAGAGTGGAAGCTCATATAGGTGTGATGGTCAGGTGTCCACATACTTCTGGCCACATAGTGTAAGTAATTGATGTTACTTTTGATTTAGCGTTCTGTAACTGGTGTGGTTTAGACCACATTTCCATTGTTAGCCACATTAGCCTCGTAGCTTCAGTATAAAAAAAAAGAAGCAAACTTTGGAAACCAAAACATGTCAGGCAGATCGACTACATTTGGGCTAAGTGGAGAAAAAATATGCTCATTTGATTTTGCTGATCTTTTTAATGGGGCAGTGCTGCACATTTTCTTAGCCTGATATCTGTTGCTAATTTAAGTGTTGGACATCAGGGATTCCAGCAGTGTGATTTCTGAGTATCTGCACCTGGGAAGTCTCCGAGGACTGGAGCTGCACTAGCTCAGCAGTTTACAGCGCATGTGAGAGTTTCAGTCACTCTTCTAACTCACACGAGACTAAAGATTCAACAGCGCAGCAGTTTCAGACGTGTCATTAATGTATGACGGCTGAGTTCCACTGCGCTATTCATTAATCTTCAAGCCTCATTATGAAAGATTGCTAATAGCTTTTTTTCTATCCTTCTCTGTTTATCATATACATATTACACATACATTTTCTGCCACTTTATTAGAAACACTTCCCTTGAGTGCATTTACAGTCACTCAATAATCTGATCATAATCAGATTTCTGCATTTATCTGATTATTCTAATGGCCATGTAAACAGAACACTGATTTCTTAGATCGGAGTAAGGTCTAGAAATCTGATTAAGAATCTGGAAAAAAGAGGCTGAATTTTAGCTCAGTAATCAGATTTCTCAGTGAATGTGAACTCTTACTCTGATTTCTTTCGGATTTCTCAGTCTGAGCATGTGCGAAAACAGACGGCGGTACCGGAAATAAGTGAGCAGCGTCGCCGCGAGACGCAGCAAAACACTTTTGGAGTGACGCTGAAACCAAATACATGCTTGATGAAATGAAGGATTTAAATATTCTTCATATTCTAGGTAATGTTTGTTCATATTTTCAGTTAAGTGGCGCGACATTTAAAAAAAGCTGCAGCATGAAGTTTTAGTTTTACGTTACGTGTACGTCTCGTCTTCTTCTGTGAGTTTGTTGGCTGGTTGTAAAGCAGAAATCTGATTACCGTCTGACTCATGTAGACCCTGAGTTTCCCCATTATCTGATTACTCAAGTGCATGTAAATGCGATGATTGGATTGCTGACAAAATCTGATTTTCTGCAGTTATCGGATTATTAAGTGCATGTAAACACACTCAGTGTTGGTCCACAGACATTTTCTTCCTTGCTGAAAAAAGCACAAGCTAATTTCACTAGAAGACAAACTTAGCTGGATGACCAGCGATAAGTATGTTTTTGTTTGAGTTTGCTACACCAGCTTGGGTATGTTTTCACCTTGTCCAGTTGGATGTACAGCCGGTCAGCCACCTTGACCATTGAGACCAACAAGAATCTAGCTAATGATCATCTAACACCAGCTTAGACCATCTGAAACCACCTACCAACAAAAGCCGATCTTAGTTGGAAGTTTTTTGCTGTTGCACTGTAGCTACAATGCTAATGTAGCTAAAAATTGGCATCATGCTAAACTACAAGCCTAAATCATCACACACACTGGGGGGCGCTCCCGAGTGCATCCAAAATGAATGGGTTTTTATGGAGCTACTGCTCAAGTCAGTGTTTGTAAATGCTTATATTTTTATACAGAAACTGTTCCCACTCAGTCGCACTCAGTAACAGTAATGTTAACCAATCAGCACTCAGTAGCAGTAAAGCCCCCAATCAGCACTCAGTAGCAGTAATGTTAAACAATCAGCACTCAGTAGCAGTAATGCCACCCAATCAGTACTCAGTAGCCCTAATGCCAACCAATCAGTACTCAGTAGCAGTAATGCCACCCAATCAGTACTCAGTAGCAGTAATGCTAACCAATCAGCACTCAGTAGCACTAATGCCACCCAATCAGTACTCAGTAGCACTAATGCCAACCAATCAGTGCTCAGTAGCAATGATGCTAACCAATCAGCACACAGTAGCAGTAATATTAACCAATCAGCACTCAGTAGCAGTAAAGCCCCCCAATCAGTACTCAGTAGCACTAATGTCAACCAATCAGCACTCAGTAGCAGTAATGTTAACCAATCAGCACTCAGTAGCAGTAATGTTAACCAATCAGCTCTCAGCAGCAGTAATGCTAACCAATCAGCACTCAGTAGCAGTGATGCTAACCAATCAGCACTCAGTAACAGTAATGCTAACCAATCAGCACTCAGTAGCAGTAATATCGACCAATCAGCTCTCAGTAGCAGTGATGCTAACCAATCAGCACTCATTAGTAGTAATGCTAACCAATCAGCACTCAGCAGTAGTAATGCTAACCAATCAGCACTCATTAGTAGTAATGCTAACCAATCAGCACTCAGCAGTAGTAATGCTAACCAATCAGCACTCAGCAGTAGTAATGTTAACCAATCAGCTCTCAGTAGCAGTAATGCTAACCAATCAGCACTCATTAGCAGTAATGTTAACCAATGAG